CAAATTTAGACTTGGACCTAAATTTAAATCTCAATCAGCATGCAGGCTGACAGCAGGTCTTCACGTCTTCTGCTCCTCCAGATCCAATCCCCTAGTCTCAACCCAAGCTCTATAGAAGATTACCTGCTACAACCCTCCTTCCCTTTCTGACTCAGTCAACAATGGGTTATAAAGACCATCTCCTCCAACTTCACTTCCTCCAACTCATTCCATTATCTCAGCCACCAACAGCAGCAGGCATTCCCTGAAATCACACCAAGGACTACTTCCTAATCATTTATGGCAAATGAATGTTACTCATATTACAGAGTGTGGCAAGCTGAGATGTGTGCGTGTGACAGCCGACACATATTCAGGATTCTTGATGGCCACTGCATCAGCAGGAGGATGCCCTCAGTCACCACAGAATGCCTTAAGTTGTGCACTTCTTACTCTAAATTTCTTCAATATGGATGTCCGTGAGCAATCTGCCATGGACAGACAATTTTGGCATGATGGCACCAAGGGGATTTTCAATAAAGCAAGGTGAAAAGTTCCTTGCACTGGATTATGGAAAGGATCCAACCCTGTATTAATTTGGGATCGAAGATACGTCTGTGCTTCATTCACAGAAAGAAAACAAAGCTTGATGAGATGACCGCACGTACAATAGGAGGGTGCCAGCCGGGGTGACATCGTAGCTGCTAACGCTCCCACAAGGGTCGAAGTGAGAGCCTGTGCTCCTGACTTCCTCATATCACCATGCTGCAGGTCGAGAAGGGAAGGAGGACTGTGATGATGGCGATTCTCAGCCTCTTATGGACTTGCTGTGCAAACTTTCAGACCTAGTGGACTCTGTTTACCTTAGAGTCAGTCCAAAAATTCCAGCTGAACATTTGGCTGTTTTATACTTTGACACGTAACTCAGAGTGCCAGTGAGATGTTCACTCTGCTGTTGAAATGTTGAAAGAACCTGAGAACTGAGACCTCAGTTTTCCCATCTGAGTAAAAAAGACTGTAGACCCTGTTCAGAGATGGGGAAGAGAGCCTAAAGTTTTTGCTGCTGCTCAGGGACAGTTACTTAAAAGCCACCATTGCGACTGGACGCTCACCCACCATTGCGACTGGACGCTCACCCACCATTGCGACTGGACGCTCACCCACCACAAAAACCTCTTCTTGTCTTTTGATTTAGAACGGATTTAAGACAATTATGATTTGACAAGTTGTGTATTTATTGTTAATTTCCACACTTAAGTTATGGTATTGACCTGTTAATGTTTGTAACTGCTTTAGTTCCCTATAAGATGTTATTGATCATAAAAAGATTAGAACTTGTCTAAGAGAAGTTGTACATTACCAATGAGTCCTTAGATTTGACATGTTTGATAAGACAAGTTTAGATTTTAATACAGCTAAAAATGTTGAAAAGCAAAACACCCTAGACCAATTCAAAAGGACACTCCCACTCCTGGTGATCCTCTACTCCTTTAATTGGAAGATACTATAGCCACAGAAGTGTGTGTAGCACAAAGTATTATCTGCTTATTTACCATTATCTAATTGCTGAATGAACTGACTTGGCAGAAACTTGGCTCAGGGACACAGAGCCCAGAGGTACACTCTCCCTTAACCCTTTGCTGACAGAGATCGGTAGTCAGTCAGAGACAAGTGAAATCCTTCCTCCTCACCCCAGGTGCCTAAGACAATGGGCATGCAGGATGAGAATGCGCGGACTGAAGACAGATAAGTCTAAACATTGGAAAAACGTGTACCTAAGCAGACATGATCATCTGTCCTGTTGCAGAAGCAAGGCTTTATTAAAATTAATAAAAAGGGAGGAATATGTGGAGTCCAGAAAACGTGAGCCTGTTTCCACCTTGATCAAAGGTCAGAGAGTTGGAACTTCTGTTATTATCTGCTTCTATCTCAAACAAAGGTCCCACCTTGATTAAGTTCTGCTCTCTCAAGGTTATTGTCAACAGGTATGGCTAATAGGGAGACACTGTATTCCAGGCATTGAGAAGTAGATTGTTTCTACCTCAAGCAAAAGTCTAAGGTTCCAACTAAATTCCTACTCCCTTAGGGAGATAACTATGGATTCCACCCAGGGAGTGGTTTGCCTCAGAATGTTTTGGCCTAGGGTGTGAGCATTACTTGTCTTGTTCTAGCAGCAGAACCTTTAACTAAGAATGTAGCCCACAATATTCAACTGGTCTGTTCATTTCCTTGTATTACATTATTGTAGATTTTATCTTACTCCTGCCTTTTGGGGTCAGGGTATTTTAATCAAATGGAAATTAAACATGGACAATTTCAGCATTCACAGGAGCTCCCTCCTGACACTTGCTATCCTATGTTTCTGTTTTCGTTCTTTGCGAGCGCCTCCACTGCCTGGCTTTGTTTTATTATTTTCACTCGTGTCTTCATTCTCTTTACTTATTTTTCTAATCCCCATGACCCTATCCTGGTAAGTGGTATTTTTGTTGAAGCTGATCTCCGAAATGAACCTAAGAAACAAGGTGATATAGCCATTTTACATCTGATAAAATATACTTCAAACCAAAACTCATCAGGAGAGAGAGTAAAGACACTATATATTCATGAAAGGAAAACAAACACCACCAGGAGGACATAGCAATTCTTACAATCTATGCCCCAAGCACAAGAGCACCCAAGTTTGTAAAGGAAACTCTAATACAGCTTGAATCACATATTGACCCCCACACACTGATAGTGGGAGAGTTCAATACTCCACTGTCATCAATGGGCAGGTCAACCAGATACTACTTAACAGAAATGCTGGAACTAACAGACGTTAAAAACCAAATGAATCGAACAGCTATTTACAGGATATCTTCCCAAACACAAAAGAATATACATTCTCTGAAACTCATGGAATTTCTACAAAATTTACCACATACTCAGATACAAAACAAGTCTTAAAAGACACAAGAAAACTGAAATAATTCCATACATCCTACCAGATCACCACAGTTGCTGGATATCAACATCAGAAATAAAAGAACGCTTGTAAGCTCATGGAAATTGAACAAGTCTCTACTGAATGAAAAATAGGTTATGGGTGAAATTAAGAAAAAAATTAAAAACTTTCTAGAATTAAATGAAAATGAAGACACAACATACCCAAATTTAAGGGTGAAGGTGGTTCTAAAAGGCAAGCTCATAGCGTTAAGGGCCTTCATGAAAACAACAACAAGCTGGAGAGTTAGCATCCTTAGTGACTTAACAGCACACCTGAAAGCTCTAGAACAAAAAGAAGAAATCACCTAGAAGTAGATAGCAAGATATAATCAAACTGGGGACTGAAATCAATAAAATAGAAACAAGAGAACTATTGTTGGCTGTTGAGTCATAGGTGCCACAGTAGAGAGAGGAGCTCACCAATATGCTAAGCTTTCATTTTCCGAAGAAGCAGAGGGGTAGAGCCTTCTTGGAAAAGGCTGACACCCAACTAACTCACTTCAGTTACTTTATTCAAATATGTACAAGGTTAATTGGAGCTGGGGAAAGTTCCAGCTACCAAAGTTATCTTGCTTTTGCTGCCCGTGACAGCAGACAACTCATAAACTATCAGTCTCTTGATTATGCCAAGCCCTCATCAAAAGTAAGAACTCCAGGTCTGCCGGAAGTGTCTTAGCAGCAAGGTCTGTAGAGCTGACAGCTCTCACAGAGCACCAAGTGCAGACTCCAGAGAAACATTTCTTCCCGGTTTAGACAGTCTCAAAACAATTTCTCAGTCTCTACTGATTAACCCAAACATAGCAAAGGCTTTACTGAAACGTTTCTCACACAAAGGCTTTACTTACAGATCACTACAGAGAACAAGCAAAGAAACAATGAAACAAAGAGTTGTTCTTTGAGAAAAACAGTAAGATCAACACACCCTTATCCAAATTAACTAAAAGGTGAAGAGATAATATCCAAATTAACGAAAGCAAAGGTAAAAATCAGACTCAGTAATAGACATGGAAAAATCAAGAAAATCATAGAGACACACTTTAATAACCTTTATACCAACAATACCCTTTACCAAAGTAAGTCAAGATCAGATAAGCAACTGAAACAGAACTGTAACCCTGAGTGAAATAGAAGAAGTCATTAAATCCCCCAATCAAAAAAAAAAAACAAAACAGAAAAACAAAAAACCCCAGGTTCAGATGATTTTAACCCAGAATGCTACAAAATTTTCAAAGAAGAGTTAGCGTCAATGCTCCTCAAATTATTTCACAAAATAGAAACAGAGGTAACATCACCCAGCTCATTTTATTAAGCCATGGTTACCCTGATACCCAAATCACATAAAGACCCAACAATGATATTCTGCTGGGCTCCTATATCAGTGCCATCAACAGAGAAACTTCCCTGCAGAAGACAGGAACAGATGTAGAAACCCACAGTCAGACTGTACGCACAGAGGGAGAGACCTTGGAACAGACAGCTCTAAATGGAATGTCTCCATCAAATTTCTCCTCTCAGATCTCAAGGAACCCTGTGGAAGAGGGGTGGAAAGAGTGTACGAGCCATGGTGGGGAGAACAAGGCCCTTTAAATTAGCTGAGCAAATCTCACATAAGCTCACAGAGACTGAAGCAGCAAGCACAGGGCCTACATGAGTCTACACCAGGTTCTCTGCATATATTCTAAAAATTTCAGTTTAGTACTTTTATAGAACTCCTGAGTGTGTGCACGATTCTTGTGTCTTCTCTTGGGTTCTTTTCCTTCTGTTGGTTTGGCTTGTCCAACTTTTGGTGACTGTTTTGTTTTAGCTTATTGAATTTTATTTTATGTTTTGTTGTTATCTATTGGAAACCTGTTCTTTTCTAATGAGACAGAAAGGGAGTGGACTGGATCTGGATGGGAGAGGATGTGGGGAGGAAATGAGCAGAGTAATGGGAGCAGTAACTGTAATCAGGATATACTGTATAAGAAAGAATCTATTTCCAATAGAAGCTCCCTCCCCCAAAATACCCCAACCTAACCAACCAACCAACCAAAAAATCACTTTAAGAATTAACATATATTCTTTAAAATATACAAGTAAAATTCAAGTATGTGATAAAGTCAGAATTTTCTCCCCACTGCCAAGGCAACATAAAGCAACACAATGAATAACAAACACTGCATTTTCTCCTTGTCACACCTTGTGAATAGGACCCCACTTTACAGAGAAGGAAGAGAGGCCACACGAGGAAAGGCAGTTTCTGTGGGAATAACACTAAACCTGGACTTGAACCCAGGAATCCTGTGCACTTCATTCCTTCTAAGACTCCCTCCTGCCCCTTCATAACCCTTGCTTTAGAAAGCCACTGCTAACAGAATCTGCCCCTAACACATGCTGTCCTCAGCCACGCCTTCCCGGGACTCCAGGCAGTGCTGGGACACCTGGTGCAGGAGGGTCACCATTTGTGGATCTTGATCTCGGTGTAATCAGACTTGATGGGCTCCGTGTTCTGAGGCTGCCTGGGCTTCAGGTATTGGAAGGAAAGGGAGGCATAGTGCAGTTCAGGCTCGTCTGCCGGAGAGCGCAGCACTGTGGCAAGAGGTGGCCGATCTTTCTGGTTTTGTAACCCTGCTGCTTTCAGGTGACCCTGGAACCCAATTAAAGGGCATCAGTCAAGACTTTGCAGATGGCACAAAGGCACTTGGGGCTTAGCTGTGCATTGGTTCATTATCTTCTTCACATGCATTTCCTGAGTCTTCACTCCCTGCTTTCACTCATTCACCTTAGCTTAATGTGAACATGAATATGAACATGTGTTTACAGCCCTCCTCTACGTTCCCCCAGGATATGCCTATCTGCACACACAACAGCATGACGTGTGAACATGAATATGAACATGTGTTTACAGCCCTCCTCTACGTTCCCCCAGGATATGCCTATGTGCACACACAACAGCATGATGTGTGAACATGAATATGAACATGTGTTTACAGCCCTCCTCTACGTTCCCCCAGGATATGCCTATGTGCACACACAACAGCATCCACAGCACTTGTGATCAAACCCAGGACCCTGCACATAGTAAGCAAGGACTCCAACAACATGCTGCATCCCATCCCCAACTAATTTTAATCTTATAAAGAGTCTCTCTGAGTCCCCACAACCCTCTCCTTTCCCATTTTATGGATATGAACATAGTCTGGTTCAGGCTAAGAAACTCACAAAAGATAGCATCAGATTGTCACAAACAAATGAAGGAAAAGCCAGACGTGTCTGCCAGCAATTCTATCACTTGGGAGACTGTAGAAGGAAGATTGTGTCTGGGACAGGTTCTGGCTCCACAGTGAGTTCCAGAACAGCCTGGGCTACACAGAAACCCAAAATCATAAATAAGTAAAATTTCAAAAATAAAATGAAAACTTAATCTAATTGTAATCGGTGGGCAGAAGCAGGAAGTTACAGAAAGCTCTCAAAAAGCTAGGATTAGACCCATCCTGCTCTGGTGGGGCTCACAGTATGTGGAGGGAATAGGGAAGTCTGAGACTACAAGAGGCAGGTCTGCCTGCCAGAGCTGATACATGGGAGATGACTGAGGCTTCATTCAAGGAGGGGTCAGGAAGCACCTGCCCAGGGAGTTGGGACTTCATTCTTTAGGTCTCGATGTTGACTATAGAGCTAGCCACAGGTAGCTCATGTAATGTGAGGGAGCTCAGGGTAGATGTGTGGGAGAACAGAGTAGACAGTGGATCTGAAAGACTGAGGACCCCAAACTAAGAATGTGAATGTATCATGAGTAATTTTTCATTTGGTTATTGACAACAAACTAGAATCACAGTCATTGGGATGTGATGTATGGAATGAAATTTGATGTGTTTCTGCATTTTATGTGACTAATGAATATTTTATGTTATGCATGTGATCAACAGTCTATTTTTTTATTTTTGTTTTTTTTTTTATCATGAAGTTAAATCTCTAGGTAGCCCAGACTCTCCTGGAACTCTCCATGCAGCCCAAGCTGGCCTCAAGTTTTAAATTTTCTTTCCTTATGCTTCTCAAGGGTCAGGAGTATAGGCAAGCACCACCAAGCCCAGCCTCCTGCTGTCTCTCTGTCTCTGTCTGTCTCTTTTCTTCTCCTACCCCCTTCTCTCGGGGATAGAACCCAGTGTCTCACACATGCTTGAAAACTACAATAGACTACATGCAAGTGACTCACTGTTAAATTCTGGGCGGGCACTCCGACTCTGAGCCACACTCCCATCCCTGGTGGTTCTAACCAAGTGTCCTAGCCCTTAGTCACAAACTGAGCCATCACTGGTAGGTTCTGCACAGGCACCCCACGTCTGTGCACAGCCCGGTTCTCACTGGTGGATACCAGGCAAGTTATCCACTGCCTGGTATCCACTTTTGATTGTATTTGTGTCTCATAATCCCTGGGAAGTCCTCAACTCTCTAGGGAGTTCATGCTGGCCTTGCACTCCCCATACCCCTGCCTCAGCCTCCTGAATGCTGAGGTCTGCCCACCATGCCCAGCCTGGCATTCTAGTTCTGTTTAATGACACACGTTTGAACTGTTAGGATCAAGCAGAACTCAGTCGCTGTGTTTGGATTTCCTTTCTGAAAGTTAAGTATGGGCTGATGAAGACAGCACCGAGGCCCAGGGAAAGGCTGTGAAGATGTGACAGGAAGTAGCTATGTGGGGAGCTTTGCTGACAGCAATAACAGGCAGTCCTGTGTAAATACCTGGAGCAGAGATAGAGGTGGGGAGAAATGCCAGGTCCCCAGCGGATGCAGAAGGAAAGCTGGATGTTGGGGAGACATTTGGGAAAACACAAGCTCAGTTTGGATACCTGAGTAGGGTATCTCACTAGAATGCCAGACGAAATCATGCCTGAGACAGGTCTCTCAGCAGGAGGATTGCCTTCAATGCTTGCTACTTTCAGGGCTGATTTCTTTCTGAGAAGCTTCACTCTGGAAAAAGAGATCAGTTTGTTTTCTGCTGGATGGAGTTTCAGACCAGAGCAGTCCAGGCACAGAGGCAACAAATGGGGCTGCTTTGTGAGTTAGAGATCTCAGTGCATGGGACTACATGATCTGAACAGACCCTGCACCTGGCCAAAGCAGCAGGTGTCTTCTGCTAACCCTGACCCTGGCTGAGTCTTCCTGGTTCTTTAAGCAGAGGCCTTACCAAATGGGGCCACCACTCACATGAAGAAGGCGAGACAGAGGCAGACAGCCATGAGACCAGCTCCTCCCATGGTCCATAGGATCACTCCTGCACTGGGTTCTGGTTTATCTGTTAACAAGAAAGGCCTGGGTGATGGAAAGTTTTCCTCTCAAGCGGTCATTTTAGCAGCCAACTTTCTGCAGCCCATTATTTATGAGAATGTCCACTCCCAGTCTGGTCTCCATCCATTCTAACCCACGGGTGAATGCGGGTACAGCTTCCCATCCCCAGACCTCCTACCAACCCAACAGAGAGGAAACCGTGAACACTAGCCCCATGTAAGCCGAGTCAGCCCTAACTTGTTCACCAATCTTTTGAATCCAGACATTACCCTTTGTGACCTCTTGACTTGGCAGCAGCAACATAGTGGCACTCTGAGCCTCATTGTCGTTCCAAGCCTCACAACGGAGTCTGTGACCAGCGCTGAACTCCATACTGAGGATCAGGGAGCTGTTGGCCCATGGTCCTGTGGAGCTGGAGGAGACCTGGAAGGAGACATTGCTGCTGTTCCCCTCCAGCAGCCCCTCCCCCAGCCACCAGCGCAGGGAGGGGGCAGGCCAGGCCCTGGAGGAGCAGCTGCAGTGGAGACTCTCAGCTTGCCAGGAGCAGGAGGGTACCAGCAGCTGTAGAGGGCCTGGGGAGTGAACACAAAGAGAGGCATCACAGGGGCTTTCCAAGTTGTGATCGCAATGCCCCACCCCCATCATCTTCCAACTCACTCCTTATGAGGAGGCTCACAGAGGCCACCTGAACACCTAGACGGTTCTCCGCTCGACAGATATATATTCCATGGTCCTCCAACTCCACGCTCGGCAGCTGTAGTTCCTCACTGGAGAGCTGGATGTGATTCTGGGTCAGTTGCTCCCAGCTCAGATTGGCAGGGGGGTTGCTCTCGGCCGCACAGACCAGGCGCAGGGACTCACCTTCTTGGATATGCAGAGATGAGCCATTGTTCAGGATTTCAGGTTCTGAGGAGGCAGAGAGAAGGCTCGAGCCCAGCCACAGGGGCTTTTGCCTTTCTGTCTCCTCCCTTTACCACACCTGTCTTCTCTTCTGCTGGCCAAAGGCCTCACACCGTAAAGAGTGGATAGACAGTACCTCTTAGAAGGGTGAGACCATCAGAACTACTCTGCGGTCCACTCTTCTCGATGCCTTACTTGCCCCGGAGAGTTTCTCCTTCCGTCTCTCAAGGGCATCTCACTAAGGCCTGCCTAACTCAGCTGTGTCCTAGGAGCTCACAGGCCCAGTAGGAGGTGCCTAAGGCAGGCATGGCGCAGCACGTGGTGGCTTTTACAGTGGCTCTGTCTCCAAAGCTCAGGGAGATTCTCAGGGCAAGAAGGTCTTCCGGGAGGAGGAAAGCTGAGGGAGAATGTGAAGGGCAGTGGAGCTGTCCAGGGACACCGCCACAGTGTTCTGCCCATGGTGAGATGAAATCGCCCTATGCTAACTGTAGGGTCTGAAAACTCCCTTCACCTACCAAACAGATGACTTTGGAAATTATCACAGACAACTTATTGTTATTATTTGGAAATTATTATTGTTATAATTTGGAAAATATCACAATACAACTTGTTGTTGTTGTTGTTATTATTATTATTATTATTGACAGAGGGTCTCATTTACCTCAGGCAGCTTCAAACTTATGGAGATGAGGATGACTTAGAATTTTTTAGCCTCCTGCTTCTACCTCTCCTTGTGGGAGTGCAATTACCATGTGCAGCCTATGCGGTGCTGGGGATTTCACCCGAGGCTTCCTGCATGCTAGGGTAGCACTCTACCAACGGAGGCACAGCCGCAGCCCAGAAGTAATACTTAAACACCACCACAGAGACTCTGTTTCTTGAGAGGATAAATAGAAGGAAAACCACGGTGCCGTGACTTCATCTGTGGCACGAGGGAGGGCGGGGCGCTGGTTAAGGAGAGAAAGACACTGTTGCTGGGATATGCATAAGACAAAGTCCATGCTGTGCAAATTGGCAGCGTGTGTGTGAAATGCAAATGACCCTTTGTACTGGAATTTTCTACCTCAGGAAGTAATTTCATAGACATGGTCACACAAATGAAGAGTTGTCATGTAAGTCACGTATTGAATGAAAGACAAGGAATGCCAGCTTTCTGTCAAGAGATAAGAGGGTAAATATGCTATCATATCACTAGAAAACCATGGAGTTACTAATATGTGTGAACAAGAAAGTCTCTAAGAAAACTATGTCTAAGGGGAAAAAATTAATTCAGTCACTTGCCACTGATTGATACATGTATTGTGCCCGGGTAGGCTTGACCACGAAGGTACCGTAAAGATAAGTAAGAATTAAGTTTATATGAGGAAGAGGTGAGACTGTAGACAACCGCAAGTATTAGGGCAGGCAGGCTTTGTTTTAACGCCAGAGGGTGTCTGCACACGGGTTCCACTGCGGTCAGGGAACAGAACTCAGAAATACAGAGACCAGAGTTCAGGAAGGTGTAGATTACATGCCTCAGTTTGGGGGTTTGATGGCCAAGGGCAGGAAATGGGAAGAGAGCGAGTTCAGAGCAGAATGGGGAAGCTAGCAATTTCCTGTAGGGCCAGGGTCTGTTGTCTTTTTTTGCAACTGAGCGTCTGGGGTGGGGATCAGCTGCTTTGCTTCCGCAATCCCTAGCCTTGACTTTTGCCAGGAGTTAGTTTCTTTAGGAACTTCATTAACAAAGGGTTTAGAGTGCAGCTCAGTGCTTTAGTTCCATCCTATATAAATAAGTAAATAATAAATAAAGAAGAAATTGATAAAGTTGTAAAGTAGTGTGTGAAGAAGATATATGTTTCTTCTACCCCAGGGCCTCATTGTGTGTTTGTGTGTGTGTGTGTTTAAATGTGCATGCAAGACTTCCTGTGTATGGTCAACCAAGACAGGAGAATATTACACACTAAGAGCTATAAGTATTAATTTTTTTATATGGGCAGAATTATATTGCACTAAAATTCATATATATTGAAGCCCCAACCACCAATATAATAGAGGTGACTGGGAGGTAATTAAGGTGGATGAGATTGTAGAACGGATGTGCCAATGGCGGAAATAAGGGGGCTATGATAGGACAGCAGAGGGCTTGTGTGGTCGTTTCTGCTGCCTAAAGACAGGGTAAAGAGAAGACCAGCACAGGCAGGACACCATCGCCAGGAACCACACAGACAGATGACCCCCTTCCGAGGTAAGGAGCCTGTTTCTGCCATGGAGGTCACTCCCTCTGCCATGCTACAGAGGTGGAGGCAGAATAAGATACATCTCACACCAAATTTGACAAAATCACCTCACAGAGAGGAAGGGAGCAGGGAAACAGGCCGGACTCGAGTGCTGAGGGGAATGAGGGCAGGCTGGGGATGAAGACAGTCTTGGCACTGGAGACTACTGTGTCTTGAGAAACACAGAAGCCATGGGCATCTCAGGGAGAGTGCAATGTGTGGGTGAGGTGAGAGGGGATACCATATCACCTCCTTCTCCACCCTGACCTCTTCCTGCTTGAGCTCCAAAACATCTGCTTATCTCTGGGGGCAGCAGTTCCCGCACCCACCCCAAGGAGGAGAAATTTCGCCCTACCTGTGTTCTCTCCCCAGGACGCCCTGATGGTCAGCTTCTGTGGAGCATCTGGGCAGACAGATATGGTTGTTCTCTTTTCAGAGAGGAGGTGGCTGCTGGTGTTTCACCCCCGTGTTCTTTTCTTCTCCCACACTCCTAGCTTCAGGACCCATCACCCAGTTCTACCCACACCATCCTGCACCCTAATATCCCATCCCCCCCGAACCCTGGTTTCCTGGCTTGGCACTCACAGGTGACATTGAGTTGTTCGGTCCTCTCCACAGTAACACCAACACCGGGGAAGGTCACCTGACAGGTGATGTTAGTGCCGTGGTCCTGGGGCTGGGGTGTGAGCGTCAGCTCTGAGGAGAGTGTGGTCCTAGGGCCCAGGGAGGTGAGGGCAGATGACATCCAGGAGAAGATGGGGGGTGTCCCCCTCTCACAAGCCCAGGGCAGAGAACAGATCAGTTGGGTGGAAGTGCCAGACACCAGGGTAGGCATAACTTGGAAGGTAGGGGTCTCAGTCAGAGCTGGACAGAGAGGGGTAGGGACACAAGACATGGTGGGGATCACTGTGGGTGACTCCACTTCAAGTCAGCCTTCTCCCCCCAGTCAGTTTCGTTATCTGGTCTGAGCACACCCAGAGCTTTGGGACAAGGACCCCCACAATGCCCTCATCACATACCTGTCACATTCACAGAGAGCAACGACTCCACAAAACTGTACTTTGTGTTTCCTTCAATCCTGAAGTAGTACTTTAGTGTGTCACTTATCTTCACGTCTCTGATCTCCAGGGAGCAGTTATGGGTATTTGGGTCCCCCACGAGATAGAATCGACCTTGAGTTTCCTTCCGAACTGGTCGATCTGGGTTATTTGTAGCCACTGGAGGGTCTCGGTCTGTCTTGGCCCCATCCTGGAACCAGTAGCCAAAGACAGAACCACTGGCTTTGGGGAAAAGGACTCGGCAGGGCACATAGATGCACAGACCCTCCTGTACTGTTACCGAACTGTTCACGAAGAGTTTATAATCCTCCGTCTCAGCCAGGGATCCTGTAAATAAATGAGAGTTATCCCGGTCCTGTCCCACCAGCCCTACCGCTACCCCTACTCACCTGCCCAGAGCAGACACAGACACAGGAGCCGCAGCATCACACAGTGGAAGATTCTGGGCTCTTCTAGGTGGCCAAAGAAAGGAGGCTCGGTCAGTTTGAGGCGGGTCCTTGCGGTGAGAACGACAGGCTTCGAGGTCGCAGGACTGAGACAGCGCCCTCCTGAAAGTCCAGGAATGAGGAGAGAGCAGCTGACCGCAGAGAAGGAACTTTCCGCCCATAGGTTATCAGAGCTGTCAGGGCCCTGGGAGAACGAACACTTCCACTTTTCACATGGGGTAACGCGGAGTCAAAGACACACCCTCTGCTCCCGAACCCTATCTGGAGCATTTGCTTCTCGTTAGTCTGATGGTCAGGGACAAGGCTTGGCAGGTAAAAGCACTTGCCACTAAGCCTGGTGACCTAAGTGTGATCCCCAGGACCCACATGGTGCAAAGGATGAACTGGCTCTCATAAGTTGTCCTTTGCCCCCACTTATGCATGGTGGCACACTCATGCCATAGTGAGCACACACACACATATTAAAAAATAAATGCAATCAAGTTTATTTTTTTTTATGTATGAAGAGGCAATAGGGACACTCGTTGCCTCAGTAGCTGCCCTGTTGCTGTTAGAGAATATCCTGACAAAATAGCTTAAAGAAAGAAAGGTTTATTTTGGCTCAGAGTTTAAAACTACAGTTCCTTGTGGTGAGGTCCATTGATGGCTACAGGGTATGCAATAAACAGAGTGAGAGCTGATAGAATGTTCTCAGCTCACTGTGTAATCTAGGCTCTCAGTCTATGGGACGGTGTTAACCTAGCCTTGATGTTCACCCACTGGCACGCTTAGCCGCCTGTCTCCCAGTTGAGTCTAGATTTCATCAAGTTTCCAGTGGAGGTTTAACCATCACAGACAGAGACACATAGGGCACCACATCAGGACCTGGGGGGAAAGACTTACAGACACAGACACAGATAGGGCATCCACATCAGGACGTGGGGAGAAGACTTCATCTGCAGGTCAAAGAATGTTGATCTAGGCTGGACGGTGGTGGCACACACCTTTAATCCCAGTATTGGGAGGCAGAAGCAGACAAATTCTGTGAGTTCAAGGCCAGCCTGGTATTCAAGAGCTAATTTCAGGACAGGTTCCAATGCTACAGAGAAACCCTGTCTTGAAAAACAAAACAAAACAAAACAAACAAACAAAAAGTTGAACTAGAGCTTCCAGAACTGAGAAAAATAAACATGTTGAAGCTGCTTGGTACGTGCATATGGTATATTAGTCAGGGCTCTCTAAAGGGATTGAACTGGTAGACTACAATTCTATGTGGGTAGTGCAACAATGCTTGTCTCACGCTAGAGAGGACAAGAAACTGGTAGTTGCTGCTTCACCAGGCTGGATATCTCAGCAGTTCCAGTCTGGTACTGAAGGGCTGGAGAATTACCAGAGAGCTGCTGGTCCTCAGTCTATACTGAATGTTTGAAGAAACCGGTTCTAACGTTAGTGAAGGAAGCAGCAGCGTGATGCTGTTGGGAGGTCTCCTGTTCCACACATGGGTGAGCCCATGAGCTCATACCACTGCCTGACACTGTGCGGTCTCCGTGTATGGGGCCTGAAGACTCCTCTGGTAAGAGGTGTGTGTGATGGGGGTACAGTTTCTTCTCTTCTGTTCTGCTCCTCAGCCCTAAGTCCTAAACAAACGGCTTTGTCAACACACACTGGAGTCTCTTCAGCTGCCTCTTGCATTACTTCTGAGGTTTGTCATTGTGCTTAGGGAAAGGAGGAAGTGAGTCAACGCCATCTTTTCTGTACCAGAGGTCTGCCAGTCACGCTGTAATGTTCTGACCAGTAGGTGGAGAAGTGTACCCATACTCTCCTTATTACCCTTCTCATAAGCAGGGGTAGTGTATGGGCATCAGGTATTTTTGAGATAGAAGCAGACCATTCCATTCATTCCATTAGTCTTCTAAGGAGCTGCCATGAATGCTGGCATTATGATTCCATCATGATTAGAGTGCTATCAGAAAATTTAGGACTTTTTTTTGCTGAATCTGATTTTTACTATTTTAATATGTTTTTTCAGGAGGAAGCTTACAGGCTCCTATTGTTATCTATGATCTATACCCACACACTTGCTTTTAAATAAAAATGATTTTAAATATATATGTGTGCATCAGTTTATGTGCACCACGTATGTGCCTGGTACCTGTAGAGGTCAGAAAAGGAGATCAGATTCACTGGAACTGGCAGTTGTGAGTCACTTGATCTGGGTACCTGTTCAAGAGCAGGACGTTCTTAACCACTGATGGTTCTTAACCATCTCTCCAGCCCCCAGTCACCTGCTTCTGAGCTATTTCTAAGGAGAAAAAAAGTGGTAACATGGTCATGGATGTTACTGGAGGAAGGGTATGGATACACACAGGAAGGAAGGGGTATCCTAGAGTGGAAACAGAGACATTAGGTGTCTCCATGGATTGATGGATAGGTTCGATGAGAGTTCATGCTTCAAAAAGATAAGCTGGAGAATGATAGAGAAAGGCACTGAACGTTGGTTTTTAACCTCTACATGGGTACATATTGGCAGTAGCATATACACACAGAGAGAGAAAAAAAGACAGGGACAGAGATGGACAGAGACACAGACACAGGGAGACAGAGACACAAAGAGTCAGAGACACAGAGAGTCAGAGACAGAGACATAGGGAGTCAGAGACACAGAGAGTCAGAGACAGAGACAGAGACACAGGGAGTCAGAGACACAGAGAGTCAGAGACACAGGGAGTCAGAGACAGAGACAC